GTCAGTCACGGGTAGTTATTAGAAGAGGTACAAGTTCACGATTTAAGTACATAGTTCGAGTATCCCGGTCGGGATTGTAAGTGGCTCTACAAGTAATCAGCTACCTGACTTCAAAGCGCACTTGCAGGTTTTCTCAAGCGGTTGTGTTCGGGTTAGGGTTCGGGGTTCGGGGTGGATGAGTTTATAGAAGGTTCAAGGGTTTGGGGGCTCAGGGAATGGGGTTTAATGTTTCAGCGGGCCTAGGGATCTACCGCGACTCCCGTAGAAGTAGTGCTATTTGAATCCCGAAGCCTTAACCCTCAAACCCTGAACCCTAATCCCTAAAATCCTAAACCCTGAACCCTAAACCCCCAAAACCCCTAAAGCCCAAACCCCTCTGAAATCCTCAACCCCCTCCGTAATTCGTGAAGCCTTGGTCGCTGAGGCAGCCGAGATGGGCATGCGGGGTGCGGGGCCGGCTCGGCAGCAGTCTTTGCAGCTCGGTTGATCCCACGGGTTAGGGCTTAGAGGGTTTACGGCTTAGAGCTTCTATAGTTGAGGGTTTAGGGCCTAATTCTGGGGTTTGTAAGGCTTGTAATGAGGGCAATTAGATTTCTGGGGCTGTAGGGCTGAGATTACTGTGGGCTTATAGGGCTGATTGGGTTTATTGGGCTTGAAGAGCCTGCAGGGATTATAGGGCATTTATAACGCTCATATGGAGTAGGGCTCATACAGCCTACAGGGTTAATAGGGTTTAGGTTTATACGGTTTATATAGGCTCATAGGTGATATGAACCTGTAGGGCTTTATAGAGTTCGGGGCTTTCGGGTACTTGAGGGTTTGGGGTCAGGGGCCCGTCATGACACCCCGAGGCCCAAGGTAAATGTGATTGGGCGGGCACCTTGGTTTTCATGAAGGGTTCGTAAGCCCTGTTAGAAGCCGAGGAAAACTCTATGGAATAATCCTAAACCCTAAACTTGAACGTTCTGGTAAGGTCGCAGCAGCCATCGGCGCCCCCTTCACGACAGTCGCCGTACCCGCAGCCGCAGAGCTCAGCATTCTTGCGGTTGTGGGGGTGGGGGTGTCAGGATTTTCGGTGTACAGGGAGTTGTAGTGCTTTTGTTGTCGGATTTGAAGGACTACGTGTATAAGCTAAGGCAGGGTTCTAGGCGCTATTAAGTTGCTCCAAGGATACCTTTTGGTTTCTGGGCTTGGAGCTGTTGTTGATTAGGTGTTTGTGGCGTTTTCTGGTTCGTGTTCATCCGGCAGGAGGCCCTGGAAACGTTTATAGCAGCGGGCAGGTTCCTTTGGTGCGGATTTTGGATTCTCACTTCGCACAGCTGCTGAGTTTGAGATTGCAGGGTTCAGTGTGGCGTTTGTGGGCACTTGGAGTCGAATATGGGTTGGGACGGGGGTCATGCAACCCAACGCCGTCAACTCTGAAGAGTTCGCAGCTTTAAGGCCTTGGCTTTTTGTGCATGAGGTTTGACGGCCTAGGGTGGGGTGTGGGCTGGTCGGTTGTGACATCAAAACCCGACAGTTGGGGGTTTCGGTGTGAGACTCTCCTGACTCTCCTGTTTGTTTCAGCATGGTTGAAAGGTTTCCAGAGTTGTTGCACCATGCAAGTTGTTGGTGCATGCTTGTTCGCTTTTGTCGGCGAATCGTTTGAGCTTATTTTATTCTTTCTGATCTAAGGCTCCGTGTGCGTGTGTGCGCCTTATGTGAGTACTCCATTTATTATTGATGGGTGTTTCTTAACTCGTACTTCAAGGTTCAAGTATGAATTTCAGAGATAGAATCGAAAGCTTAAGACCATTTCCAAATCCCAGTACTGCTTAGCTAGCAGCTACGGGCCGCTATAAACTACTGAACCTGCTGTTCAAGCCCCACTAGACAAGTGTAGGATGTAAAAACCAAGGGCATCATTTTGTGGTGCCAGAGGCTGCTACTACAGGGGCCTTAATAATTACCAATACTATTTTTGGGGGCTCCTTCTTATAAGTATAGTATATTGGGCCCCAAACCCTATTCTAATTGTTAAGACTTCTGTATCAGGCTAAAACTTGCAATGCAGATTGGTGGGGCTCGAGGGCTTGGAATCATTGAGTCATGGAGGCGCCTTCGGCTGCGGTTCTCCGCCAAGTTCCGAAACCCTCAATCCTGATTTCTAAAACTGGCCCTTTTCCAAAAGCCCTGACCCCGCAACCCTGAACCCATAAAGGCCTTAAGAGCTCTAAAGCCTGGCAAACCAAAGCCCTACACCACAAACCGTGGCCAATAACATGAAGCTAGCCCCTGCATGTGTCCTAAACCCGCGACAGCATCTCTGAAAGGGCTGGACTTCAGCCGTCGCAGCGGCAGCATCGCGGCCGCAAAGTGGTTCAGTGGTTTCAGGGGGCTTGGGGTTCCAAGATTTCTGAGCTTCAGGGTTCAGGGCTGGGAATTCAGGGGCGGCATGGGGGTTTGCGCATTCGGGGGTTGAGGGGTTCAGGCCTTTGGGATAGAGTTTTGGCTTTAGGCATCCTACTGGCCTGTAAGAAATTGCGAGCACTCTATATTTTATATGTGATAGATATTCGTACATATTTTTGTCAGTCATATGTCCCCTGATCGTCTTTGTACGCTTACACTAGACTAGGGCCAGCACAAGTTTGGATTTCATCAGTTGTTGGTTCCGTCTGGCGGGATGCCTAGTCATGCAGGATATAGCCTCAAAGCCCTACTATTAGTATTATTACTATTATTATTATTACTATTATTATTATTACTATTATTCTTGCAACAAACGGAAGCCACAAGCAACCCACACCTGGGCCAGGCAGATCCTTTTTCTAACAGACTGGACATGGCAAAGGGGCTTTGGGCCTCCATTCAGGTTTTTTGGGCGTTTTGCGGCTCAGGGGTTTGCGGAGCTGAGGATTCATGCTTCATGTGTTGTTGGGGTTTCAAGACCTTTGCATCGTCGCTTAAGGATGTGCGCCGAAAATGCTGGCCCTGCGAGCATTGCAGCCTGGCTCTTTCGCTGCACTGGCGCAACAGGCACCCTAAGCCCTGGCCCTGCTAGGATTTCGGTGAATGTAGGGGCGTGGACGATTCGTCCCGATACCATTCAATCTGTGAAGGGGATGTTGTGGAAATTTGAAGCACATGGTTCGAACCTCTCGGAGCTACACAGACTCTGTACTATACACAGGATGCTCCTCAATTAAGTGGTCATGGGATCTCCAGGTAAACTGCAGATTCGAGGCTTCACGCTCGCCCCATGCAGCCTAAATTTTGATGACAGGACTCTACATATACAAGGTCTTTATGCAGTCTGTTGGGCTGTTTTCAATAACACTGTCCAAACGGGGGTGGTTTTACTGCTTTCAGACCTCTCTATATTATCGGCTTTGGGAAGTAGGAGTATGATGGTTCATGCTATGAGGTTTTCGAAGGAGGGAAGGCCCTTCGGGTTTGGAATCTTTTACACCTAAGCACTCCAAAGCATTAAGGCCAAATCCCTATGCTTAATTGCTAAGCCCACGCTCCCAATCTTAACTGCAAGACTATTTTACTTACACCCTAAATCCTAAACTCCAGACGAGTAAACCCGTCTCCGAAATCTAATGCGCAAAGCGTAAATCCTACAGTCTGTGGTGCCGCGAGAGCAATGAGCGCATCACCATCCTTGTCACAGGTAGAACTACTATCGGATACTCTACCGCGGCTATTATCGTACACCGACTAGTTTGAGCGCATGATCATATCGTTAGACCTAGACATAGCCATTCCCGGTAGATTATAGTATCATTCTGCCATGTTCCCTAACTGAACCCGGGCCCCCTAAACCCTAAACCTTGAACCCTAAACCCTGAACCCTAAACCCTAAACCCTGAACTCTAAACCCTAAGCCCTGAACCCTAAACCGTAAACCCTGAACTCTAAACCCTAAACCCTAGTAAACCCGAAACCCTGAACCCTAAACAGCCCTAAGCCAACCCCCGACCGACTCCCCGAGGCCAGGGAATGCTGCGATGGGCAATCAACGACGAAGCCCTGCACCCAGCCAGGCAGGGAGAAGAAGGGTACAGGGTATGGGGTTTAGGGTATAGGATTTAAGGGTCCTTGACAGTTTAGCAGTTCGTGCCAAAAGCGTCTCTTGGCTGGCATTCGATTCTGATTTAGGGTATGGGATTTAGGGTTTGGGATTTAGGGTTTAGCGTATGGGATGTAGGGTATAGGGTTTAGGGTATGGGATTTAGGGTAGAGGGTTTAGGATTTAGGGTATAGGATTCAGGCAACTGGAATATGTGGAGCCCTTCTTCCGGTAGTGCATGTCCTATCGTGACTTTTGCCGGCTTTTCCTCACAGGCAAGGTTTGCGATGCTGCAGAACCGGATGAACTATGTAGCATCGGGAACCGAACGCTACAAACGCAACAACAATATATGCCGTCTTTTCACGAGGTACAGACGCCTTACAGCGAGAAAATGAGCCGGATACAAACTACTTGTAGGGGACCTAACAACGCTCTCTGTAAGGGCTCTATAGTAGTTGAGATAGGGGGGCTTTAGTGTGACACAAAAAAAGGAGGGTGTGTCCTCTATGCGCAGGTGGCGCAGCCGCGACGGCAAAGCCCACGCAGCCGGCGTCCTAGCACAGCCCACCCTAATTTGTAAGCTTCTGCTGCTCGATACCCCAAATCCCTGATGCTTACACCTGTATGTAGGGGGATGAAAAGCTGCTAATATTATTATGATTGTGTTAACTTGTATCCCAAAACCCATTCCAATGGACACGAAATCCCTGGGCGGTTGAGAGCTTCTGGTCGATTGAGGGCTTGGGATTTTAGGTTTGGTATGTTTTCTCTGGCAGCAGACGAGGTCGGCCACATTTAATATAGGGGCCTGGAACGTTGAGAATGCCTACTCCCTGGAACGTCTGACGTCGAATCTAATTTCAGTATAGAGGCGCTCCGCTAACCCTGTTCTCCGGGCGTGGGGGCAGCTTGCACCGTGGCGCTCGCAAGACCAAAGGCAATGTGCAGGCCCGTTGACCCCAGACGATCGTTCTTCAAGTGGCAAGCTCCAGAACACTAGGGCTTCTTTTTGCTGTAAGCCGTAAAGCTAACCTAAAGACCCCAAACCCTCCACGAAGCGACAGGAACTGTTTGACGGTGGATGCCGTTTGATCCTACTAGACTCTCCTTGCCGTCGCGGATTTGGTTCTATATGGGGGCTTCTTCAGTTTAGCCGATTCGTTGTCCCTTCATAAGACACAACCCCCATACTTTCATCTCAAAACCCATCAAACCTGAACGCCCGAGGCGCTAAACACAAATTCCATTCCTATAAAACACACTGGACCCGAAAGCTCCCTGAAGCCGAAGCCCCCAAACCCCAAATCCGATACTGTGAAACCTGACTTTTGGCCATGCCCACTACCGCTTCCATAAGCTCCCCTGTATCTAAAGCCCCGCATTCCCCACCCCCAAAACGCTTAAAAGCCTGAACATCCAAACTCAGATACCCAGACCTCTGAAGCGAAACCCAATAGGCAGAAAGCCGTAATATCTAAACCTTGGAACTCTGGACAGCTGACCGACTTTTCTTATTGCATCAGTGAGTTTTTCAACCACAACACCCTCAACCCGGACCACCATTGAAAAAAAAAACTCAAGCCCTAATCGGCATTTCAGCCCTAAACCTACGCAAGGTGCCCAGGCACCCTCCGCGGCGGTGGCTGGTGGACAGCAAAGGACGTATGGCCTGCGTGCGTTTTGGGCATGTGGTTTGTGGGTCAGTGACGTTCAGCACTGGGGTACAGAGCTCCAGGGGTAGTAAGCTTAGGATTTTGACTTTGAGGTTCGGTGTTTAGGAGTTCAGGTTTATGGATTTAGGCAGTCGGGTCCTTATGGGCGGAAGGTTTAAGCTTTCAGGGAGCTGATATGATGGTTGGAGGTGTTTTTTGTTGTGTGCCTTGTTGTTTTTTTTGGGTGCTGGTTAGGGTTTTGTAACTTTTTGATGTAAGGGGTTCAGCAAGGCGCATAAGAACAATCTGAATCAGTCTGAATCCCTAGAAAGCTCTGGTGTCGGTTGCGAGAAGGTAGATCCCGGATGCCACATCTCGGACTGACAATTCTTGTATCGTATCGTCTTGCAAATAGGGGGTTTGGGGCCGGGGGTTTGGGGCCCCTTTATAAAACCTACACATTAAACAACATTTTACCCTAAAGCCCTCTAGCAGCATGGCGTTTAGGCACAACTCCTTTTGGGATAAGCCTTAAATGGGACAAACCCTTCAATGAACATCATGTTCGTAGATCCCAAGGTCGTAGGCGCAGCGCAACATCTTAAACTTAGGGGTACCTTATTTGGGCGTCTTTACAATATGGATCCTACTATTCAGGGTACTATATTAGGGTCCCCCATTTTCGGCAACCCCCATCTGTTAAATAGTTGTTGCAAGGATGTGAAGTTCCTGAAGTCATCATTTTCAAAGCCGTGGACGGTCACGAGCTGCTGTCATTTGGTGGGAGGTCTCGCCGAATTAAGCGTACTTGGCGGCTCCCCCACGATGAAAATCATGGTGTGAGCACACGGTGCGTGTTAGCCGAAAACTTCGTGCCGCTTCTCTGCCAATGAGTGGGGGTACAGATGTCTGGGCGCAATATGTGCGTGCCCGCAGCCACTAGCTGGTGCTTGAATTGCTGCAGCCGCTCTGCCAGACAGGCAATATATTCCAGTTTGCGAGGATTCCATTCTGTTGGGACCGGGCATCGTTGATGGTGAATCCTTCATGAAGCAGTTGTTCCTCAAACTGCAGTCGGTGAAGGCTGCATTCCCGATGTGGTGTTGTGCGTTGTTGGACGGCAAGCCGATTTAAGCCACGGCAACCATAACAGCATAACAGTATCTGGTTTTCGTCACTGTGACGATGTGATTCAGGCTCATGCTTGCATGTGGCATCACGGCCCACGCCGTGAAAGCCCGCAGCCTTCAAACAACTTGTAGAACCCTAAACTTCGGAGCCGTATACCCTACTTGAAGGATCTCCCCGCTCTGTACCTCGAGCCTTTCAGCATCAGGGCTTTCAGGCTTCGTTCTTGATCACCCTCACATACCCTAAACCCTTAGTGCCACAAACCCCCTACCCAGAACCCTGCAACCCTAACCCCACCGACACCGCAAGGATGATGCAGCCACCAGGCATGATGCCAATGCAGCACAGGCCCGGGTGGTTTACTGATCCGAGAGCCCCAGGAAGCCCTAAAAACAAGAAGCTCGATAAGGGAGTTTCCGAAAATAGGGGTACCTTATTTAGGGGTCCTTATAATAATTCAGGGTACTATATTAGGGTCCCGTATTTTCGGAAACTCCCATAAGGCTTGAGAGGCCTTCAATTTTTATTTGAGGAATGAAGATACCTTATGTCCTAACGACAAGCTTGTGCACGGCCGTGAACTCTAAAATGGAATGGCACTGGGCTTTCGAGGTTGAGGGAGATGTGGGGCTTTGTTGCTCAGGACTAATAGATTAGGTCTCTGAGCCTCGGTTTCACGGCGTGGTGCTTAAAGACTTAAGGTTTGAAGTCTAAGTTGACGGTACTTGAATGATCACGGGTTTCGGCGAACTCTGCGTTTCATCGGTTTGATAGTGGTTTCTTACGGGTGCTACAGGATTTTGTAGGGATTTACCGAGATTGTCAAGGATCGGGTTATAAGTTGTTATTATTGTTATACCAATAGTAGCAATGATATAACAATTGTTACTGTTCCTTTGTTCATTATAGAAACTCCCAAGAACAGTAAATGGCATTTTGATTACCGTAAATATTGCGCTTGTAGCTTAAATTCGTGGCCCCAATACGCGCACCTACAATTTAACTTTGCTTACTCGTTGGAATTCCTGATCCTGCTTCGACCCAGTCTAAGCCTAAAAGCCGAGCAAAGACCGAAGGCGCAGTCCTATCAAAGCCCTTAAGCTTGTAAGCCCTAAACCTTGAACCCAAAGCCCTCCAACCCGAAACTCGAAACCTCGCGCCCTGTAAGCCGCAAACGGTAGCCCAGTGGTCAAAAGCCTTGCCAAAGCCGCGAAGAAGTGCCTTACCCTCCAGGCCCCCCAGCCGTCCGGGCTCCATGACCAACTCGCTGACGCCTTGGAGGGCTTTGCCGGGGGTTGAGGGTAGATGTGTGTTGAGGCGGGGAAGGGTTCGGCCACGGCTACGGATTGCTTGATATTTGTTGATGTTCTGCATTGTATTGACTTTTTGTATAGTCCCAATAATAATATTTTGTAACCTTACTTACTGCACTCATTTTTCTGAGCCTCTGACTAACGCTGAACCCCTAATTCTCATCGCGGACCCCCCAAGTGCCTTTTTTGCGCGGTTGGTGGCCCCCCTCTTTAACATCTATGGCCCTTAGTAGTGGGTCTTCGAGTCATAGTACAGGGTAGTTGGGGTTTCTAGGAAGGTATCTCTTGAAAGGACCCTTCCGGGATGAGTCCCAGGCCTTTCAATCCAAATTCCACTATCGGGTTGATAAGGTTGATGGACAAAATCCTGCATTACCCATTATAAGGAATATACCATAGTTCCCATAGTTTATAGTCCTAAGGGTCATGCAGGATTTGGTCCATCAGCCGTAAGGTATAGGTCTTTGCATCCGACACCCCAAAGCCTCATCGAATTCCCATATATCAGTATTGGATCTGATATGAAATCCCTCCAGAAGTTTAGAGAACCCTGTTGGAACCCAGTTCTCACCTTTTGCCTCATACCCTAAACTCCAAAACTCCTAAACTCCTAAGCTCCTAAAGCCTAAACCCTAAACTCCCGAAACAAATCGAGAAGTGTAAAAACTCCCGAAACCCTGAACCCTAAACTCCCTCGACCCAGGCCTTTTAATCCACCTGCTCATCGCTCTCCGCAGGTGGTGTCCGGGCCTCTGTGGGTCCTCGAATCGGGGGGGCACACTTAGGGTTTCATCTGGGTGGTTGCCAAAATTATGGTCCCTTTTGGGGGTAACCTAGATACCAAAAGGGACCGTAACTGTGACAAAGGCCCATATGTTTCTAAATTATTGGGGATGTCTGAACAATTAGGGGTACCGTATTTGGGGTCCTCATAATAAGGAACCTACTAACTGCTTAAGGGTACTATATTGGGGTGCCCTCTATTCGGAAACTCACAAATGCGGTTTGGCTTTTAAGTGGCTTCACAGGATTTCAAGCAGACCCTTACGGTACGTGAAAGCTAAAGGGTCTTGCCAGGGTCAACAAGGGTTGGTTGAAGGGTTCGGGATTTAGGATTTAAAGCTTTACTGCCTTGTGTAGACCCTGATCAATCATCCTGTCTCCCTCACCAAGGACTGTAACTGTAATATTGCTATTACTGTCACGGCCTAAAGAAATTGGGGTTTAGTTTGTTAATCAGGGGTCAGGGGTCTATCTTAGGGTTGCCGGCGGCTCGAGGTGGAACTTGGTAGTCTTGTGTGTTTGGATATGTCAGGGTTAGGCGTTGCTAGCTCTCGAAGCAAGCATGTGTTGTGCAACGCAAGCACGCTTGCTTTAGACCCCAGCTTAAACGCCCCCCTCCTGCGAGGAGGACTAATGAGAGGGATCCGAGTATCAAAGCCATCCACGGGTCCACGAAGCAGGGTTGCTTGATGCGATGCTGTAATGCACCCCCTCCCCCCAGTTCTAATTCTTGATGTAGGAAGCCTTACACCCTGAACCCCCGTTCCGAGCCGCCCTTGCTCGGGCTCTGGGGATTAGCGTTTAGGGGCTGAGGTTTGGGGTTTACGATTGGAGGTCGAGAAGTAATTGAAGCGGTTCTCCAGCAGTAGGTTTATTCCCAAGTTGAAGCTTGAAGAACCGAGATGGGGGATTTAGTGCAAAACCCTTTCAACCCATATCCAGATATAAACTACAAGTCCTAAGCCCTATTATCTTGTACCTTATGGAACCCAAAACCCGAAAACCCCAAAACCCTAGACCCCTTAGCCCTAAGCCCTTGTAGAACCTGATGACTCCCTTCACGTCCGAGGATGCAGCAGAGGCCCATGTCCGCCAGAGGCTCAGGAGTGTCTTTTCATGGAGTTAGGGTTTATAATTGACTCGGTTTCGAGTTTAGTTAATAAGGTGTCGAGTTCAGTTTTTCAGCTTTCGAGCTTAGGACTTGTAAAGTTTTGAGTTTTGGAATCTTGATGAGGTTTACAAGATTGGGTGTAGGGTTAGGGTTAGGATTTGGACAAGCGGGTATACGTTCGAGGTTTGTGGCCAGGATCTGCGGAGAAAACAGTATTCTGTTAGTCGTGTCACAGTTGAGAGCACTGGCAGGTGCAGGGTTTAGAGAATAGGGCTTCGGGTTGGGCTCCGGTGGTTGCAGTGGGGTAATCAGAAGGGCACTAGCTCTATAGAACCTGTAAGAGAACTCTTTAGAGAATCCTCAAAGGGAGCCCCGGAAACCCGAGACGAAAATTTGGTGTGTGTGCTCAAGACCAAGAAGGTCTAAAACAGGTCAGCAGGCACCCGGACCCCATGGCCTGATATTGAGGTTTTCATCATTTCAGTAGAGTAGAGTTTGCAGGAAGGGGAGGGGGGGGTGGTGGTTTCTGTGCATGCCTACATATGTTGACTGTAAACTGTAAACATACTCGGGGTATCAGGGGGATATAACTGGGCCCCGTGCATGACACCGCAGTCTCAGATGGGGCAGCCGCATCGATGAGCTGAAAGAGCGGCCACGGCAAAGATGTCCGAGTTGATTTCTCGGGGGCTTCAATACGCAGTGGTCGCACAAGTAGTTTTCATGTTTTGAGGGCAGTACATGTCCTACATGCTACCCAAGGTTTACCTTTTCAACATTTTGTGCTAGGACATTGGAATAAACTAGGCATGCACATCAACCGTAAACCCGAACCCCTAAACCAGCAACCGTCTGAACCCTCTTGACGTGTTAGAGTTGGAGCACCCGAGGCACCGTAGTAAGGACCTAGATACCTGGCATGATTCTTTGTTTGTGATGACTGCTTTGCAGCCTTGCATCCAACCCGTAAAATCCTAAGCCCGCTACCTTAACCCTTCAACCTTAAACCCTAAACCCCAAACCCTAAATCCCTAAACCTCAAAACCCCAAACCCTGAACCCTAAACCCTAAAACCATCAACCCTAAACCCCCAACCCGAACCCTCAACCCCAATAGAACCTTACGAGTTAGGACCGACCTCTCCGCGTCCTTGGAGCCTCGCGAGTTCCGTAGAGCCCACTTCGAAAAGGAGTAGCACGGGTTCCGGAGCCTAGAACCTAAGCTGTGGCTGTAGGATGGGCATGATCAAGGTAACAGTGCAAAAAATGTTCTAGTGAAGCTTAGTTTTCACTGAAACTTGTTTTGCTTCTTGGTTTGGTCTAGTCTAGTTGCAGTGTTATCGTTTGGTGTTGTGATATTTGTGCTAATGTTTTGGTGAGGTTTCGTACCATGTGGTGCAACCGGAATTGCTGTTGTGATTAGCAGTTATGATGATTGTAAGCATGGTCATGTGTGTATAGGTATACACACTATTATACACACATATGACATTTTTTTTTGCTCTGCAGTGCTTGTTGTTGCTTCTGTTCGTTCTCATCATGTTGTTGTCGGTGTCATCATTCGTGGCTGCTATTGCTGCTGCTGCTGCTGCTGCTGCTGCTGCTGCTGCTGCTGCTGCAACCACGACGACGACCAGGACGCCGGCCACACTACAACTTCCGAGTACGTTAACGACATCCACTAGCAGGAAGAACTACAATATCAACAGAACAGGCAAAATAGCAGTGCCCATAGCCCTCAACCTCAATATGCATGGTTGTAGGGTTCGGATGAAGGCATGTGTTCTGGAGTCTGGGAGAGAAGAAGGCCTCTGACTATTTAGAGTCTACAGCTCTGGATAACTATGCGGTTTGGGTTTTAGGGTTTGAAGGTTAAGGGGTACAGGGCTTTGTTTTAATGAAAGAGCCCTTATTAGGGATTTGATTCTCGCGTATTGCGCAGACTCATCCTGCGTCAACGAGAACCCCTCACATCCTCCGTTTGTTAGAACCCTATGGTTTAGGGTTTAGGGTCTCTATGTTCACTTAAGCCGGTAGCAGAAGCATCTTACAATCCGAGACCCGAGCACCTCGGGCTGTTTTGCAGACGTGAGTCGTTGAAGTCGATAGATGCCAACCTTGCTTCGAGAAAAGCAGCGTGTCGAGGACGGTATATGTTGAGGTCTTGGCCATCCCGATTGAAAATTCTAAAGGGTGTTCCTAGTGTTGAAAATGGAGTTTCTCGCGGGTTTGTACGTTCCCGTCCCGGTCGCTTCGTTACTAACGAAACACAGAGGTCCCCATTTTGTTTGACTATCGGCGCCGCTTCATGAAACCCTATCAAGCCCGTTTTGTCCCTTTGCGGGAACCCTTGATTATTACAGCCGCTGCACTGCGATGGCTACGATTGTCATCCGGTTATCACTATTTACTATTTGCATGATATCATATTGCCATGATTCTTCTTCTTATCATTGTTACTCTTCTTGTTATACTTCTTGTTATTTTTACTATGGCTATGAACTTTTCAGTAAAGGGAGATCATGGGGCACGTTATTAGCTCGGGGGAGGATGTCGAATTGCTTGCAGGGCCTTGCAAAACTTGTGAGGTGTAGATATAGGGTTGGAGCGTTTAGTCATAGGGACCCTTAGGGGGTAGGGGACTACACTTCCGTACATAGGCCTTGTTCAGTGGTTATTATGGGTATTAAGGCCCCCTTACCCACCTTCCCCCCTGCCCCGCTAAGGGTCCCTATGATTCAAGGGTCTTCCAGGCCGGTTTAAGGTTTTGAAGTTTGAGGGTTTAAGGGTTTAAGGGTTTAGGGTTGAAGAGTTTAGGATGCAGGTTTTTGTTGGGATTTACGGCCCACATATTTTCTGACACACATTAATTTTTCGCTGATGTGAAGAGGTCATGTAAGTCACACCGGGCCCCTATGTGTAGAATGTCTACCTAATTTCGAGCTTTCTGAAAAACGTCTAGCCCCAGGCCCTAAACCCCAGCCCGAAACCTTTTTCAACCCTGAACCCTAACCCTTTAACCCGTAAGCCCTAAACCCTAAACCCCTAAACCGTGGCTCAAACAAACAAAAATTACCCTAATCCCCCTCAAAGAATCCTACCTTAACCCCCCCCTAAAGAATCCTACCTTAACCCCCCACTCCCCAAATGGTTCAGGGTTTTGGCTTCAGCCAGAGACCCACGCAGGGCGAGCCCAACTGAAGCTGGGGAGTCATCGACCTATCTGGCGCAGGAAGCAGAGGACCGCGCTGGGTAATATAGGGGCCTTAATGATTAGAATAGGGTTCCCTTAATGGGGTGTATTAGGGATCTATAACTCTGGGTTGCAAAGGCTTAATGATTAAAATAGGGTTCCCGTAATGGGGTGTATAAAGGATCTATGATAGGATACTAATATATAGAGGCCTGAATGATGAGAATAGGATTCCCTGAATCGGGTGTATAAGGGATCTATGATAGGATACCGTAATATAGGGGCCTTTAATAATAACCTGTATCGTTTTGGGGTTCCTGACTATAATTGTAGTATAGTGGGCCCCAAAACCATATTCTAATTATTGAGGCCCCTTTTTTAGAGGAAAGGGATTTTCAGGGTTTAGGGGTCTTTGATGGTTGTAAAAGGTTTTATGGCTTCGGGTTTGAGGGCTTTGGGGAGTTCAGGTTTTGAGGGTCGCAGGGGTACAAATCCTAGGTAGCAGGTAGCGCGATCCCGAACCACAAAAGAAGACCTCATGCCCCTGACATACTGTTGATGATATAAATCCTGCATGACCCATAATAAGGAATATACCATAATTCCCATAGTTTAGGGCCCCTAAGGTAGTGCAGGATTTACATCATCAACCGTAGTATCGCCTGGCTTTCGGTTCTGGCCTTGAACCCTCTAACAGAGGGGCCTAAATAATTACCTATACCATTTTTGGGGTTCCTTATTTTAGTTTTATGGCCCCAAAGCCCTATTCTAATTGTTAAGGCCCTTATATTGCCCTTATGCATTCTGATACACAATTCTAAACCCTAAACCCTAAAAGCCTTAAACAACCCTAAATAAGAGTGTCCAAAAGAAGGCACCCCTGCAATACAAGGACCGAAATTGGAGAATCCTAGGGTTGTAGGGCCTTGCCAAGACCAAGCAAGAGGATGCAGATTTGGAGAAACTCCCAAACCCCTGAACCAAGGTTCCCACGAAAGCCGTAGCTTAAAACGCTAAACTCTATAAGTTCTATAAGCCCTAAACCCTAAAAGCCGTAAACCCTATGATCCCCAAATCCTAAACCGTCTTAAGTCGCCAGCGCAGGAGCCTCTGCCAGCGACGCCGACATACACCGCTGATTCGCCAGAGTTTCTTGGGGACAAGCTGGAGACCGTATCTTCCACTTAGACTCCGCTTAGGATAGCCTTGAGGGCGACCTGGGGATGTCTGAAAGGTAGAGGTGAATTGAATGAATATGTAATACAGGGTCTTAAATGATTACCTATACCAAAGCCTTATTCTGAACAATTGATACCAATTTGTTATAAGGATGCTACTCTTTGGGGCTTTAGGGTCTTCATCAGGCCTTGGGGTGAAGACCTCGGGTACCCTCGAACCACCTCGCAACGAGAAGATTTGGCGGACAGGGGGTGGTGTGCCATACCCTGGAGGGTTTAGGGTTTTGTTTTCAGGTGCCATCCTTTTTCTCGTAGTTCTTTTTGCAGGTACTCGAAGACCATCCTGTCGGTAGAGTTTGAGGAATGGTGTTTCCTGAGCTGCATTTCTGTTTAAGATTTGTTGATGGTTGTCTTAATGCGCTGCGAAGCGAGTAACAGATTCCTAAGCGGGACTCTCCTAGGTGGAGTCCTTGCGTGTCCCAAAGCCGAGTTCCCAGGGTTCCGAAAGCAGCAGACCCTCCGAGACCCTTCGGGGAAAAGATCTCATGCGAGGTTCCAAGAGGAGAATGAGCCCGAGACTCCCACCCTTGAGGCGGACGATGTGGGGCCCATCCCCCGATACGATATTAGGTATCGATTTGGGTCGCATTTCCCTTATTGTTAAACATAGAGCCCTAATAATGAATAATTTTGGGGACTGTTGACATCGGCACCTAGTACAGGAATTTCTGACCCTTTTGGCTTGCTGCAGGCTCTGAGCGCGGGACATTTTAGGCGTGAACCGAGACCACCCAAATCTAGTGTGTAAGGTTTGGGTTTCCGGGCTGCTGTTACATTGAATTGTGAGCTTCAAATAAGTAGAGCAGGGGAGAGGATCCAGAAGCTATGCTGATATACAATTTGCACTTCAGGCTTTTCGCGAACTGATACTAAAACTAAGCACTACCTAAACCACCCAACTGCGCCTCCATCCAGGCCGAATACCAGGTAACAGTGAGCACAAGGCCTTTGAAAAGGGGAAGCTTGGGGCTCGTGTCCTAAATCTTACTTCAAAGCTTACATATACCCCGAATCCGAAACCCGAAGTCCGAAATCCTGAACAGTACACCTGCCATGTAGGCGGGCTCCTGCAACTCATGCGCATTGCAGCGGTGGCGTAGGTACCAAACCCGGAAGCGACGATGAAGCCGATGCCCTGCCCATGACCCTAAAACCACAACTCCCACCCCCACCCCCCCCACCCCTCAGTGATTTCGAGCTTGCGGTTCTCCA